GAATCCGCCTCTTCCTCTGCCTCTTCCTCGCCCCCTTTCACCGCCTTCACGGTTGAAGCCACCACTGCTGCCCTCAGGCCTTTCTCTACAACAAAGACATTTCAGATTAGCCAGGGCTAGAAACTAACAGTTTCTGTACACTGGTCCTTATAATGGTAACATATAGCAAAACCCTTCAAAAATGGCAAATTTCTACTAGTCCTTATGATTAGACCTTTACCATTGGGCAGTTTGGCAAGGACTAGAGGACTAGTGCCAATTTCTAAGGCTGTTAGCTTTACATGTAACATTCATTGTAAATAGGTACAATTTTCAGTCATTTTCATGCAACTTGTTGAAATAATGTACAAAAGACATGCATTCTAATAATACATATTTTCTGCACAATCAACTTCTGAATTTTGAGTAGTTTTATTGCAAGATTAATAATAACTTCAAATCTGTGAGAACACACTACATGTATTATTTACCAGTGATGGATTTGTCTACTGCACAAAACACTTATTCTAAAACCATTCAGTTTCTGGCTGGCATGACAAGTCATGGTTTGATCAAAATAATGTTACTTGTCCCCTAAGCCAAATCTGGAGTTTTTCTCCCAAAACTTGTTTTGTCTGCCAGATGTCTTTCCAGACGACAATCCATATTAGACACCGATCCAGGAATGTACAATCCATGTTCACTCAATTTTTTAAATTACAAAACTGCTAATATGCACACAATTAAGCTAGATTGTGAATAGTTATATTCATCTGATATTGTAATGGGACAACACTTTGCAAGTCTTAATGAATGTTTCCAATCATTGCCATATTTTCATTCCAAATGTCAGGTCTAACAGGGTCAACTTATAACTAGTCTACTGGTACAAATTTACCTTGTTTCAGCTTTACAAAGGCATTTTACCTTAATCTGACCTAGTACAGCATTTGAGTTTAGTTCTAACCCTGTCTGACATGATACACCAGGGCACACACTGACCATAAAAAAGTAACCTCCATTTGATCAACTTTGGAAAAAAAGAGACTAGTAATAAATGTCAAATAAATTAGCATTGAATTTGCTTGTTTACAAAGTGGTAAAGCCAGTATTCAGTTCCGGAACAATTATCCATAAATTAGCATTGTGTGAATCCCCAGATGACTTGAGTTGCACTGCCATAAAGACTATTTTGAAGTATGCAAACTAGTCATGTTGAACTGGTAAATATTTTGGGTCAAATAACTTGGTAATCAGTGTATTTGTCCACTTGTGGGAGAACCAAAAGCCATAACAGTCAAGGCTTTGAAAAACTACCAAGCAACACATTCTCAGAAATAGATGGCAAGTTTTAATGAATAAATGACCCAGGGCCTCTTCAAAAACTGCAGCATGTTGACACTCAAAACAAAGCCCATTTTCCCCTTAAATAGGAAAGGCAATACAGTGTAGTTTCCTTTTCTTTGTTGTTTTAACACTGCACTGAGCAATATACCAGCTGTGATGGCAGTCTGAAAATAATCGCTCTGGGAAAAGACAATCTAGTGATTGACATCACTGAGTATCAATCTACGCAATTGGGATGTGATAACATGCAGCAATGAAGTCAGTGAATCCCATTAGTCGCCAAATACAAGCAGTCTTTTACAGCAAGCATGGGTTGTTTTAAGCCTATTTTAGCCTGTCTCTGCACAGGAGTTGCCTTTTCAAATAAAACAAACTGTGGGTTTAACACTACGCACAGGTTAATAAAACAGACCAAACTTGTTACAAAGCACTGAATTTTTATTATATTTTTATATAGTTGGTTTACATAATTTTTGGCTTAAAATTCAATGTGGGGGTGGAAAGGAGAACATAACTACTGCTAGTGCTACTCATCATGCTCATGAATGTAAAGTTTTTAACATGGGAAGATATCGAAAAATAACCGACTTGTCTTTGCTAGAATATGGGTTTTCAAACATATTATTTACACAATTTCTTACAGTGGTTACATAATCCATTTCGTCATTTCACCCAATTGTAAAACCAGGGCTTGATTTAAGGAACTTGATTTAACCTGCAACAGGTCTATGTCGACATGAAAACCTAGTTGCATCAGACTAAACCAGGCTCCACCCTGGTCCCATAAATGTATCAAAATGAAACTAGTCCAATTAAAAATCCCACATCTCTGATGACTCACGAATTACAACAAAGGGACTAGTGATATAGTATTGTAAATAAAGCTGAGATATTGAATGTGTTCAAAGATTGATGTGTGAACAAGCAAAGGGTTAGTCAGACAAATTGGAATTTGGGGGACATTCCATGTCGAAAAATATATGGTTGCATTTTTCAATAAAAGATTGCACTGGTGTATTTTTACATAACAAAATTGAGCCCTGAAATTTGGCCAAATGTTTGTCAAAACATTTTTCTATAATTTAAGGGTTTTTTTTGCAGTTGGTCTTAAACTTAAAAATATACAGTCATAGGTATCTAATGTAGTCCGGTCTGAACAATTTGGACCATTCACTTAACACTACAGTGTGTTCCATTGCGCCTATGAATGCAATTAAGATTGTCTAATTCAACTCTTGAACTATCGGCCGCATCTAACCCTAGTAGTGGCACATTGGTAAATTGGTCCATGAATGTGCCAATCAGTAGGTCTCAAAGAACACCTGACGAGCAGACAAGGGGATCCAGCTGGTAGCTAGCTAAATCATAAGTAACCTAGAATTCCCTATTACTTCAAATATGTATTGTGCATCATCTGGAAACATCACTCCGCTACTCAGCAACCGATCAGAAGCACATGGCTGACTACTGAACAGTTTCTATTGGATGAAAATTACAAAAGGTAAATGATCTGTAAAAATTGTAACCTGAATTCTGGTGGCACATTTTCATCGCCTCCTCGGTTGTCTCTGTATTCTCGTGGCCCCTGGCGCCTGTGCGGCCTCCTTTCTCCATCATTTTCACGGATCTCGCGTGGTTCACGACGTCCTCCACGGCCACCGCGCTCACTGGGTTTTGCAGAATTCACTCGCTCCTTTTCTAGAAACAGAACAAGAATTTTCGTTTTACCAGCACTGTCATGTTTTGCCTCATCTAAAATAATATAGAATGACATTTATTTTCAATCACCTCATTAGACCCATTACTTTGCTTATTTGTTCTTGGTATGACATGATACAGCATAAAGATTCATGATTGTCTCATCTTAGAAAACCAACCTGATCAAAATATTATCCATTTACTCCCTAAGGGTCCATGAACAAAATTACCAAATATTGGATGAATACATCAATGAACATACAAACAATGACAAAAGCAACTATTCAGAAAAAGAAACAGTTCAGCAATCAGCATTACTGTTCTCTATTGAAACCAATGCAGTTTTCCAAACAGCTTGTAGAAATTATTTGTTTTTCATAAATCGTGTTAATTGACAGGGACTACACAGTGTTAGAAATTGGCACTAGTCCTTTAGACAAATAATAGACCTTGCCAAACTGTTCAATAGTTAAGGTATCATAATGACGAGAAGAAATTTGTCCTTTTTAAGGGTTTTGCTATATGTTATCATTATGAAGACTATCGCTGCTACACCACCTTAATTCTGGATTCATTCGAAGTTAAGAATAATTGTGTTATCAAATTATTGTAGTAATTTCAAATTATTTATGTTACTTGGCGAGAAGGCCTACAAGATGCATAGTGGGAAACATGGTTAGGCTAGATGCTCGTTACACAGAATAATGCGAACTGTCAACTGATGTTGATAAAATGCACTGGTACACAAATGATAGAGACCATTAACTCCCATTTACAAATATCCACATTTTATTACCACAAATGATTTAGGTAGAAGGCATTCCACCATACTGATTATTCGAGCATGACGGACCACGTGGGTTATATAGGTGAAATGAATTCTGACCCACTTTCTACCTTACAATCCCATGCAGTATGGTCGTACAATGTTTACTTTTTCAAAGATCTCATTATCTTGACGATGTACCCCAACTTTTAATATTGGTACATACATTTAGTAGTCTTGTTGTCAAGACAAAACTGTACCCACGTGGTCTACTAGGGCCTATCGTCCTTGACACTTGACGATCGCACTGTGAAGTCTAGTCAATGCACCATATTAGGTCGTTTCAGAAAGATAATACAATATTGCACTTAAATAACACAACCACATTCGTGTCCAGACGTTTATTAGTAAAACAAATAATATGTATACTACCTATTACACGTGGTTGTTCGTAAATAATAACGTTGTTATGCTATCACTGAAAACATTAGTTGTAAATGCGCATCTGCATGCGCCCACATGGTCCGTTTCGTTAACGTTTAACATGCAGTTGAATTGTCAACTTTACCAACAATGCAATCATTATGAACAGATACAATTTTTTTCCAAACCTTCTTTTCTCTGTGCATTCTGTTCCTTGACTTTGCCTTCGGACGGAGCATTTGCAACCTTTTTACCAGACTGTTTGGATTTCGAAGACTTCTCCTTCTTGGTCTTGGCTGCCTCTTGCTGCTTCAGAAACTCTAAAGGATCGTCATCGATATCTACCATGGTAAGGAACCGATTTTTAATTGCTATGCCGTATTGGTTCTCCATTGTTCCTCTTTCTGGTAGAGGATGGCAATGGATTTTACCGACGGCCTTTTCCTAAGCGAACTTCAGAACCTGCAAAATGGCGTGCTTCCCGCACAATGACTGCACATGCGCGGTGACCCCCCCGGAATATGTGATGTCACAAAGCCTAAAATGGCAGTGGTGGCGGGAACCTCGCCATAGACACAGTTTAGAATACATTTCATTTGAATATATTATTTTTCTGAAGATAAATATTTATTAGTATTTAGGTAATACTCAATTTCACGAAACACCATGATTATAATCATGCCTTTAAAATAAGTGCATGAGTGGCTAGTCCGTAGTCACACGGCCCTCATACATTATCGCGTAGAGGATTTCTAGCAGCAACAGGGATCACCGTGTTACTATAAATAGCCGCTCGGCAGGTATGAACATGAAAGCTTGCTTTATTTACAACGCATGTTAAAAGACCTGCGATGTAAGTAGGCCATGCATTCCACCAGTACTGCCACATCCACGGACACAAATCACCATGCATCCGTTAACCTGGAGTAACGAAGTCCATTCCTGCCAGTTTTCGCCACCCATTATTTCACGTGAGGGGGAGGTTGAGGATGAAAATGGGGACTCCAGTTATAACGGTAAAGATGCGATCAAGCGGGGAAGACCTAGGGCCGACGCTATATCATCGTTAATACAAGAAGGGAATTCATCAAGGAGCAGAATTCGCTGTCAGATTTGTAGTCGGGTGTTTCCTCGCGAGAAATCACTTCAGGCGCACCTGAGAACACATACAGGTAAGATATATTTTTTGATAGAGTTTTGGAAGATCGTGAAATGTGTGTATTCCTCCTGATAATTAGTTCAACGAAAGAACCTTCATTTGATTGGTAGCTACCCCTAATTTGTTGAGGTTTGGGAATATTTTTTAGAAATGAATATATAATAATTTAGTAGATATAAGGGACGACTTTGTTTAAGAAGCTGCATTAATAATGCAAACGCATCAACACACTTAATTAACAACATTTGGTGACTGTTTATCAAGACAGAATACTGGTTGATGTGTGTTATTCCTCTGCAATAGAATATAAATATAAACATATGCATGTATTTGCTGTTTTGTGCTTGTTTGTTTTCACGACGTTGGCCATCAAATACGACTTGATTTTAGTCACGCAATCGATGAACCGACACAGCCTTTAATTCCTTCCTTTCAGTTCCCCTAATTGCCCTTTCAAATAAATATTTGTTTCTGAATTTATACTACTTATTACAAGTTATAATATAACCGGTTTATATTTCACGTATGTCCCAACGCAGATGGTTTAAATGGCCATACGTTGGCATCGGTCCAGCCACAGCCTAGATTTAGCTATTGTTAGGTACTGATCGATCGGCGTTCGATACGGCATAATTCATCATCAATTATTTACACAAGACGCAGTGAACGCTAGTGCACCTGTCTCTATTGATTGCAGGTGGGACGGCAGCTAATTGGAATATTTACTATTTAGTTTACATCTGTTGATGGTATTATTCCATTCGGGGATTTGTGTTAAAATTTGAAAATTCATAATTGGTCTGGTTTTTTATTGTGTAAAATCACTCGGTAAACGGGATATTTCAATAATCACGGCAAGTATATTTTTTGTGTGGTTGTGGATTATTTGACAATTTCAGATGAGAAACAGGTATATTTGTCCCATTAGGAATGCGTACAGGTCCGAGCGAGAGCTGTGTGTTTGCTTGTGTAGACATGTATACTTCACCTTGTCTCGCACTGAATATATTAAATGAACGGTTCTTAAGGTCGCACGCGATCGAATCGCAGCAATGATCAGCCCGAAACGCTTTAATGATAATACGACAGTTACTTCCCTTTGAATGTATCCCTCTACAATAGGTTATGTTCTAGGTGACCGTTATTCTTCAGGCTTGATGGGTTTGAACAAGCTGAAAGTCAAGCACGTGACATTGTTGTGGTTCATGAAGGCCACACCCCCTTTTCACGCTCGCATAGCCCGGTGTTTTCTTGGGTTGCCAAGGAATCGGTGGCCCGTCAACTGTCATTCGGAGTTCTTTCACGGCTATTCAATTGTATTTCTTTATGGTGTATTCACAAGCCAAACTGTCCGCGCTAGAAGCCTTTAGTGTTCAATAGATATAAAACTCAATACACATCTCACAGTCTAAACTCTGGGACTATGTTCCAAGCGACTTTGAGGTGTCCGACTCTTACCATATATATATATATATATATATATATATATATATATATATATATATTACATTTAATGAAGCATGTCTATATCAAAGTGAAGATAAATTGAAAAGACATTGAAAAGAAATGTAATTTAATTATGTATGTACCGGATTGGTAGCTAATTAACTCGACCCGTGAAGATCCGGGGTAGAATAGGTCTGCAGCAACCCATGCTTGCCGTAAAGGGTGACTATATGCTTGTCGTAAGAGGCGACTAACGGGATCGGGTGGTCAGACAATCCAGTGGCTGACATCATGAGCATGAGCAGTTGGGATACAATGATATGCATCAACCAAGTCAGCGAGCCTGACCGCCCGATCCCGTTAGTCACCTCTTACCACAAGCATGCACGGGTTGCTGCAGACCTATTCTAACCCGGATCTTCACGGGTCGAAGTCGTATATACTCTATGAATAAGATAGGAGATCATATGTTCAAGCTCCACCCTTGCCCGTTAGTCAACTCGTATTAAGTCGGATATATTTTTTAAAACATATATTTTCACAAGTAAATGCAAATGTTTACAATTTATTCCCTCAGTATGTCATTAAAACACACCCCACGGCTAAGATTCTAGACACTCGATATTGGAGTGTGTTCTCAACGAGCTAAGGAAAAAACCCCAACGATACTATTTGAGAAAAGTGGCCATTAGTCATATGCCAGTTGACTTATCTCATCTTTACAGAACATTGTGAGTAGGATCAATCACAGGCGGTATACATCTGTGTATTGGGTCGAGGAAACAGCTACAGTTGATGCCAACATGAGATAAAGACGTATATGTGAACACAAGCCGTATATACCGTGCACGTCGCGTGTTCCTGCATGGGTAAACATGTATCTGTTTTGGTCCTTTGTCGTGCATAGAATTGTTCCACTAAGACAGTTTCACATGAACAAACACGCTTTCACTTTGGGGCAACTGAAATACGAACGCTATTTTTTATTTGTCTTTACGTTTGAGAGAAGTAATTGGACGACAAATAAAACATCCACAGAGGAATTGCTGTGGGAAGGTTTGAGTCATTCTTTTTATCCTGAAGAGAGGCATACTAAAGAAGTTTCCTCCATTCTCATGGCATTCACGTGTATACACGGTAGCGACATAGACTTACTGTACACGTGTTCAGTGAGTTAATGTTCGTTGTTTTCCTACAGGTGAGCGTCCGTATTCGTGTGATTTCCCGGGATGTGGCAAGGCCTTCTGTCAGAGTGGGCAGCTGAAGACACACCAGCGTCTTCACACAGGAGAAAAGCCCTTCGCCTGCTCCGTACAAGGTAAACCCAACACGTCCGTTGTTTTTTGTTTGTTTGTTGTTGACGCCGCACTCTGCAATATTACAGCTATATGAAGGCGGTCTGTAATGATCGAGTCTGGACCAGACAATCCAGTCACTGACATCATGATCATCGATCAATGAAATTGGGAAACGATGACATGCATCAACCAAGTCAGCAAGGCTGACCACCCGATCCCGTTAGTCTCTTTTGACAAACACAGTCGCCTTTTACCGCAAGCATGGGTTGCTAACAGTCACTGGATTATAAATAATGTCTTTTTAACATTTTGCAACTGAACTCCGCCTTGTTTTCGAGACTGATCTGCTTTGAACTATTCACAAATATGCATGTCATCGCTCCCAATTGCGTGGATCGATGCTTGTGATATTAATCATTGGATTGTCTGGTCCAGACTCGATTATAAACATGTCGCCGTCATAAAGCTGGAATATGGCTGAAGGCGGCGTTAAACAACCAACCAACCAACAACAAGCATGGGTTGCTGAAGACCTACTCTAACCCGGATCTTCTCGAGTCACACGTCCGTAGTGAATGGCCGCAGAGCAAATAGAGTTCTCGCTAACACTAAAACTGGGTCCTGGGTTTGAAAAATGGAGGGGGTGGATGCACATTTTACTGAAGTCTCGAAGTGAACAAACACCCCGAACAAGGGATGGGTGGTAACGGAGCTCCCCGGTATTTTCCCTATTGGCTCTGCCTGTCTCATCATTTATATGCAGTGTTTTGGGACGATTTGTTTCTATTCAGATTTGATATTCATGCTTTTAGTTAATTGGTCATGAATAAACCTATTCCTGTGGTGAATGAATTTAATACTTTGTTTATAGGAGATGGCATGCCTTGTGTAGTTATATGAATTCTATCAATTCCGATTTTCCACATCTGAAACCAATTTCAAGATAGACACAATTTTATGGATAACGACTTCTTTAATACTGTGAAACCAATTTATAAGAGATAAATTCTATTTTATGAAGTTCGTATAGTCCATATCAATTTACATTTCCATGGCCGGGCTCAAGGTATTGACGTTCATTGACCTACTTTCCCCCGAGTTGTGCTGGAAGCGCCATGTACATGCATGATTTCACCAAGCTTCACTGAACACCAAGCCGAGCCCCGGAGGCAGTCACGGTTGGGCGACAACGCACAAGAAAAATCTATTTTCAGAGGGGAATTATCCGAATAGTGTTGGATTATAGTATAAAACACTAATACCATATTCCGCATTAGTTGTTTCGCAATAGTATTGGCTTCTAACGATGACGAATATACCCTGAAGTTCAAATGTGCAAAGCAGGGTCCAGGTCAGATACCCCGTGCGGTTAATACACTGATTGGCCAGCAGACTGGAAAGTTGCTGGTGTCATGGGCGAACTGTATTTATTTGTTAGGAACGCGACCTGAATAAATATATCAGCATGTAAGTGATACATGTATATTATTGCCTATCTCGTGTGTGTGTGTGTGTGTGTGTGTGTGTGTGTGTGCGCGCGCGCGTAGATGTTGTGGTCTAGTGGTAGAGTGTCCGCCCGGAGAGCGGTAGGGCCGGGGTTCGATCGACGTTAAAAGATGGTACTTGTTGTTACCCTGCCTTACGCTCGGTATTAAGGGGCTAAAACAAGGACTGGTCGGCTCGGAGTCAGTATACTGTGCCTGAGTGGGGTATTCATGTTAAACTGCGAAAATGCATCTTAGTTCACTAGCACCATAGAATCGGCATTAGTCCGGACTAGTACAAGCCACACACACACAAGTGCAATGATCTTGGACGCGACGTTCAACCCCATTTCACCTCACCTCGTGTAATCGCTTATCCTGAGGGGCAGTATAGTGAACTCATCAGTGAAACGCGTCCCATATGTTACCGGACATAAAGAGCGGTTTCTGTTCAAAATATCACCAAACGCGGAAACAGTCAAGCGGTATTTGAGGCAGTGGCCGTGTTTTGTTGGTGTGGATGTTGATACAGGAACGTCTGTTGACAGTCACTTCACCAGACACACGCCAACACTTGTTGTGTCGGTGGACGTTTATAGCCCGTGTCATGTTGACACGCCCCTGGTATCCCAGGCTTCAAGATAGACAGTAGCAGTTCACAAGGAGTTGATCATCAGATTGTCAGTCGGGCATGGTTCAATAACGAGGACACTTGCCGTTTTAGGTGGTTTATGAGCAGTCTTCCTTTTGTTTGTTTGTTGTTTAACGCACTCCACAATAATCCAGCTATATGACGGCAGTCTGTAAATAATCGAGTCTGGACAATTCAGAAATTGACCTCATGAGCATCGATCCACGCAAGTGTTTTTTGTTTGTTGTCTAACGCCGCACTCAGCAATATTCCAGCTATATGACAACGGTCTGTAAATAATCGAGTCTGGACCAGAAAATTCAGTGATTAATATCATGAGCATCGATCCACGGAATTGGGATCAATGACATGCATCAACCAAGTCAGCGAGCCTGACCACCCGATGCCGTTATAGTCGCCTTTTACAGCAAGCGTGGGTTGCTAACAGTTTTCCTAATTGCTTATTGGATTATAAATAATATCTTTTAAACATTTTGCCAAAGTGTATATTGTGGAAGGTTGAACTGAACTCATGTTTAAAATCCGCCTTGTTTTCAAGAATGATCTGCTTTGAACTAATCACAAATAGAGTATTTGTTAACTCTTTGATTGGCATTCTAGAAGTTGGTGAGTACATATAGGAAGACGTACAGATTTCTGTATAACAACTTCCCGTTTAGCGTCGTTTCGATGAAGGTTTTTACACCTTCATCAGTTTATTAACGGGGCTAGTGCGATAAACCAGAAGTTGTTATCCATAAAGTTTTACGTTTTCGTGTAGTATTTTATTATCCCCCGCCTGGGCCAGAATGGCCGAAGGGGGATTATGTCGTGGCGCAGTACGTCCGTACGTCCGTCTGTCCGTCCCACAGAGGGTACTAAGCTTGTGAAATCAACTCCTCCTACATTCCAGAGAATATCCCTGAAACTCTACACACAAGATGTCGACATGTTGATGATACGCATATCGCAGTCGTTTCATTTCGACTAATTTTGACAGAGTTACTGCCCCTGTTTTACGGCGCTTCATGAAATCTACTCCTCCTCCAATTTCCAGAGAATATCACAATATCTAACTATAACTATAACTATAGTTAGTTTCCTTGTTTAAGGCTTTTGTGGGTGAGCTACATCCTTATGGCATTAGCATTCAGACTGGGTTACTCCCAACAAAATGTTCTGCACAATTTGTTTCAAATGCAGTGCCATCTACTGTTGTTATTTCATAAAATACAAAGAAAATATAAACTCGTTAAAAAAATTCATGCGGGGGATGTTGTGCTCTCAGAGCACTCTTGTTTAAGAAGTTATAATGTTGGTTTATTCTAAGACTTGGATGGCTAGACATGTGTGTGTGTCATCAAATCACTCTTATCTATGCGTAGTCATCAGTAGCTGCATGAGTACAACGTGTGTAAGTTGTGGAATACACAGGCTAACGTGTCAGTTTCCGCTGGGCTCGCCTTCACAACGTGTGCATGTTTAGTAGCATGAACAAAGTGCATCAATATCGAGTGAGGAGTTACATGTCAAACTGTGCACCTACCTTCATCCACTATAACACACACCTTCAGTCCATTCACAGTTCCGTGGTAGAATAGGCCTTCAGCAACCCATGCTTGTAAGAGGCAGCTATGCTTGTCGTAAGAGGCGACTCACCGGACTGAGTGGTCGCTCGCTGACTTGGTTGATGCATGTCATCCGTATCGATGGCTCGATGCTCATAATGTCAGTCACTTGATTGTCTCGATTATTTACAGACCGCCGTCATATACCTGGAATATTGCGGAGTGCGGCGTTAAACAACAAACAACCCATTTAGTCCTAGCAATACATATCTTGTATCGTACCCCCTGCTCGGCCGTTTCATTAGCAATCATATATACAAGGGCTCGCTGTATGTACATAGTCCAGAAATCCATTTTGGGTTAGTTAAAATAGATTTGAAAAACGTTTCCCTCTCATATAAGGACGATCCCTTCGGACTTTCCTCCCACATTAAGCTGATATAACTGGAATATTGTTAAAAGCGGCGTTAAACCCAATTCACTCACTCACTCAGATCCCAGTGGTTAGGGGGAAGACGTAAGACGGCAGGACCTTGACCTTGTCAACCATCTACACGGACTCGTGGTTTTGTAGCCCTGGAAGGAAAGGTCATATTCAACCGTCGCAGCAACGCCACCATTTTGTCCTTTAAAGCTATTAGACGTTGTGGCCTTGCTGCCTGTATCCTGCATACTGTGACATGGTGTATTTTGTCCATGATGATATAGGACTTGGCAGCCAAATCAGGGACCAAATTATTTTTCACCCACTCCAGGAATACCTTGCCGTTCATTTCTGTGTGTTATGGTACGCCCTGTTGGCCTTGGCTCGAAAGACGAGGTCACAGCCTGGGGAAACCCCTGACCTACACAGCCAGCAGGGAGAACGTTAGGTCTTTCACCTTTTCCCATTTGTAACTTATTATACAGCCTTACACAGACTCCATATAGTCCCCACTGGGTACCCACTGACTGCTGGCTGTGTGAGAGGCAATTACGCACGTCTCATCCTGGAAGACAGGCTCATATCCTTCTTCATGTGTCTGCTTGATGGTTCGACCATAATGATTTCGGAGACGAAGGATGTCAGATCGTTTACATAACAGAGCCCCGTTTTCATCACTTATTTTTTTGTATCAGTATCCAAATGTATCCAAAAGTTGCCATAGCTTGCCATTTTGTAACGATTAAATCATGTTCATTTTCAAGGTATTTCTTCAAGTGTCTTAGTGGCATGTACTTGTTTTCTGAATGCAGTTTAACAATTGCATGTCTGACTTCATTTTTCTGAAAATTGTCTAATTTATCAACCCTACTTGGCTTTGATTTGTTGCCCCCCTGCCCCGCCTGACTGCTAGAGTCCCGTCGACGGACAATATTTTTCACGTTGTTAGAAGACAAGATATTTAGAAGCTTAATTAATGGCATAAACTGGTTTTACTCTTTCTGCTTCACATTGAAAGAAATCATACACCTCAAGAATCAACTGTTTCATATCAGCTGAGTAGCGCATTTTGTCAGTCAAACAACGACGTTAGACTCTGAAATCTTATGTTACACAATATCCTTCTTGACTCGACTCACCCTATGCTGATTTCAGAGTATGTGGAATAGGGCTAGCTGGCTAGACTTGCTTTGGTATGCGTTTCTAGATTTTTTTATTTTCATAAAATAAATATATTCCACGGTCATGGTGCAGGCTACAACGACGTATGCCATGTAGCGCGTGTTTGCGCTGTTCCTCCTACCGTTGTGCCATATTATGAAGACACGTATGTTCAACACCTACCAAGCGGAGACCGCATGGGGCAGGTTAAAGTGTATTTTTATCCATTGTGAAAAACGGTGACAAATTGTTTTGTTTGTGCCTAATGTCGGATATATAATGCTGGCATGCAGCTAACTGTTAAACTTGACCCGCCCTACTTAAGCCAAATTCTGAAAAAATAACTTCAATATTTATCAAGGCTTGCAGACACAACACATGACAGCTGCTACAAAATAAAAGATAAATCGAGGTTATCACGCGAGTGTGTTTTGGGATGGTAAATATCCTGTATTATGAATAAACATCGTATTTAGCGAGCCTTGGTGGCACGTGCCTTGTGTAAAATGTCTATCTGTGCAAAGGAATGTTTTCTCAACAACATTAATGATTGAGTAGATTCTCCACAAATCTCCGTAGAAAATCACCACGTGCCACCCTTTCCTACACAGATGTTTGTTCTTGTAATACAATCTCACGTTCTTTCCGTCAAGCCTGCATGGTTGTGCAAGCGCCCTCTGTTGGCGTTATATACACAAGAACCAAATGTAATAAAAAAGAATAATTCATAACTGTCAGTATTAAATTAACCGATAAATCCAGATATAATGCTTGTCATAGCTTCCCTGATCATGTTACGGTGGATGTTGCAATGGGCGACCCACGCCCACTACAATACACGCCCCTTTTTCGTTCTGAAATTGTGCCCTAGCTTCCACGAACAGAAAAGCTCCCGAATCAAATCACACCTTCACTGGTAGCATGTAATTTCGTAAGTTTTCATAACCGGTATACCATTAAGTGACTGTCTACATGTGCGTGTGTTTACCAGTCGAAGGCCGCTATGGTTCCTAATAGGTAACAACGAGTCATTGGGTCCTTCTATTTTTCAGATTGCCAAAGTCGCTTCACGCATGCTAACCGCCACTGTCCGGACCACCCGTATGCTTCCCTGCAGCGGGTAGAGACAGACATTACGTCATCCCCCACCTTCAAAAGTAACAGCTACGAAGTTCAACAGTGGCTGATACGGTAGGAGTTTCACCCATAAAACACTTTCTGTCGACATGCTACATACATAAAGCTTTCTTATCTGGCTATCACTATTTAGAGTTTGTAACTGAAGCAGACATAAAATACCACATTATCTCCCTTCGAAACGTTACACAATTTGATATTGGCGAAAACTATGCCCAATCTCCATGCACTTCATCAGTATATCTAAATATTTTTAGTTGAAAACCTGTGAAAGGACATATCACTGTGACACTCATCTTCCCGAGGCAAGGGAGTGAACTGATTGAAAAGGAAATAAACTGACTCTGAACGTCTGTTTCTACCCTTGCCGAACTAGGCCTGAATTTCGTGGCTCTAGTATGGCCACCAGTGTCTTACGAGTGTTGCTCATACTACGTCCCTCCTATCCACAAATCCACCTCGCACCACTTGCCTTTGCTTCAAACAAAATGGCTATGCCCAGACAAGACCATCTCATCGATGAAGTTACACATGCTCTGGATGTCAGATGTCGATTTTGTTACGCGATTTCGATTGGACTATGCAGACTCGTTAGTCCAGCTAAATTATAACTCCATAATTCAGCCAAGTTCGGCAAACTCCCTTGTCTCTGGAAACTGGACTTTTATAGTCAGGTAACTCCCTTGTCTCTGGAAACTGGACTTTTATAGTCAGGTAACTCCCTTGTCTCCGGAAACTGGACTTTTATAGTCAGGTAACTCACTGGACTTTTATAGTCCTTGTCAGGAAAAGATGTGTGACACTATTGGACGTAGGCTATTCCTTCCTTCTAGACAAACACTTTGTCCTTAAAAATATATTATTTTGATAGAACCAAATAACTCCATTTAAATGAAAATAAGTCCCAGGGAGATTGGAGATCCAGACCCCCAAGGAAATGTAGATTTGCATGATTTCGAGCTTTTGTATTACAGGAAGGGCTGGGCAGAAGGGATATACTAAGGTTCAGGGACTGTGAAACAGACTATCAAAGTCCCAATGCTCCTTGTCAGGTTCTTCTCTAAAGTTGCCTTGTCGACTGTTGCAGGTATGATGCCCAGCGCAAGGAACGAAGTCAACTCAAGTCACCTGTAAAACGTCGCCTCTACGACGACAAAGACGATGAAGAAAACCTTGAGGCTAAAAAGAGCGGGCATATGTCGCTGACCTCCCCTTTACAGCAGACTGAACAAAGAGACAAATGGATCTCTGCACTGGCTCTCATAGAACTCGCCCGCGGCGTCGTGTCATGACATCGTTATCCGTCCAATGTCTTCACAATATTTATGGATTTTGCTATACAATTTGCTTTTATAATGGAAGTTTATTTATTCCTGAGGTGTTCAATGCTTGGCAATTTTTGAGCTCAGCATTCCGTGATGCTGCCGTCCATTTCCAATATTGCTCCATATCATTGTAATGATATTGTCAATGACATCGCAAAGCATAATTATTTTCACCCCAACAGTGGGTGCCATTCCTTTATGTTACTCAAGTTTGTGTATCCTAAATGCCATCCGTCCTAACATATTTATGATCTATTTAAGTTTTTGACTCCGTCCGAACATATTAATACCCGAGTCATTTCTAGCTGTCCGTCCTAACATACAGGTACCCGAGTCATCTCTAATTGTCCGTCCAGCTGATGTATGAAGTGGTGCTTGTTTCTTGCTAAATTATAACCAGGATCATAGTTTTCATTTATACAACATTTGTTATACATATCCTAACTATTTATTTGTATTGGACCTACCCTCATTTTTGTTTTGTTTTGACTTTGGAAGAAACTTGAAACATTCCAAGAAGACCGTCCGAGGAAATACTGCAATAGTGAATGTGAAGTAGGCTCAAGTACATGTCCTCTCTTCGGAGGGAGAGTGTAAGGTGTATATTTTGTCCTTTTTTTAATGATGTCCGGTTGTAGAAGTATCACTTGGTAGTTAACTGTTGTCATTTCATAGAACATCCTATTTTCATTATTAACTGGTGCTTTTACTATCATAATGCTAACCAAAACAAGGCAACACTTAGATCATTCCTAGAAATTGATGTGTTCATAGTGTCGTTTGTGTCCCATTTACAGTAAGTCATCCACATTGTAAGAATATCCTTCATATACTACTGAAAAGAAGTTAAACAACACCCAATTCTTTATATTGCAAAGAAACAAACCATCCATGTGAATTAATTTTTAAGCAGTAATATATAACTTTATTATCCCCTAGTGTAACTTCTCGTGTAATTTATTATCAGAAACTTTGTGCAGAGATTTCACTTAGCACAATACAATCTTATTAAAATCAGATCTTTGTGCTCCCTACTGCTCCACAAAGCTTTAGCGAGAACTAAGATCTGCTATAAATGAGATTGAGAACAATATGACATGGAAGATGAACTTGTGTGCATGTCTCACAAAGCTTGGATTTGATAGGACACTCAATTTAGCTGTGAGGGAAAACCCATCCTGGTTTATTTAAGGCAGGGAGATAATGTAACTTTTCTTTATACAATGGCACTGCTGCTTTTAATGCAATGTATAAGTCATGACCAAATCATGAAGATTGCTTTTTAAACCTTGATAACATTGTTTCATTAAAAAAAACAATCAAAATATGTGAATCAATTTAATATTATCAACATATTTCATTTACTGTTACTGTATCTAGAATCAGGTCACAATATGTATTGATGTGGTTATAATATGAAAACAATGTCACAATCATAATCTGTTGTTTTTATCTAATATTATCTGTATTAATTCAGATTGAAACTAAAGAAATATTGAATCAAAATAAGAACATCTCAAACCTATCATGAACATTCTAAAAAACATATCATTACATTTCTTCACACCATAATGTACTTAATGTCAGAAGTATAAACTGACAATGTCCATGGTACCTCCCACCAATGTTGTATACACTACGTAGCCCACGTTCCAAACTGTCCATTGACGCCACCATCCAATGCCATCTCCGTCCTTCATTCCTACAGTATCTCGAGGCAGTAGTCTCCCTTCCAACCCAGAATGGACAACGGTGCAAATATTCCTGTAGATTTCATGTCTCCATGTGTCACAAGTATCCGTGTTATATTTTCAAGAGAAATGTGTGGTAATATATTTAATGTTTTTAAGTTCATCAACCTCCTGCATTCCATCCTATTTAAAACAATGTGTTCGTGTGTTAGATGCTGTAGAGGCATATATGTTCTACATATATTGATGTGTGTTCTGTGATTGTGTGATGTGTCATGTGGTGATTATTAACCCTTACCCTGTCAACCAACACCATGAAAGTTATCTGTCAGAACATATCTAGACATATGACCCTTATGATGTTAAGTCCCTAGACATGGCCTGTATGATGTTAAATCCCTAGATATGACCTGTATGATGTTAAATCCCTACACATGACCTGTATGATGTTAAGTCCCTAGACATGGCCTGTATGATGTTAAGTCCCTAGACATGACCTGTATGATGTTAAATCCCTAGACATGACCTGTATGATGTTAAATCCCTAGACATGACCTGTATGATGTTAAGTCCCTAGACATGACCTGTATGATGTTAAGTCCCTACACATGACCTGTATGATGTTAAGTCCCTACACATGACCTGTATGATGTTAAGTCCCTAGACATGACCTGTATGATGTTAAATCCCTAGACATGACCTGTATGATGTTAAGTCCCTAGACATGACCTGTATGATGTTAAATCCCTACACATGACCTGTATGATGTTATGTCCCTACACATGACCTGTATGATGTTATGTCCCTATACATGACCTGTATGATGTTAAGTCCCTAGACATGACCTGTATGATGTTAAATCCCTACACATGACCTGTATGATGTTAAGTCCCTAGACATGACCTGTATGATGTTAAATCCCTAGACATGACCTGTATGATGTTAAGTCCCTACACATGACCTGTATGATGTTAAGTCCCTAGACATGACCTGTGTGATGTTAAATCCCTAGACATGACCTGTATGATGTTAAGTCCCTAGACATGACCTGTATGATGTTAAATCCCTACACATGACCTGTATGATGTTATGTCCCTACACATGACCTGTATGATGTTATGTCCCTATACATGACCTGTATGATGTTAAGTCCCTAGACATGACCTGTATGATGTTAAATCCCTACACATGACCTGTATGATGTTAAGTCCCTAGACATGACCTGTATGATGTTAAATCCCTAGACATGACCTGTATGATGTTAAGTCCCTAGACATGACCTGTATGATGTTAAATCCCTACACATGACCTGTATGATGTTAAGTCCCTACACATGACCTGTATGATGTTAAGTCCCTAGACATGACCTGTCTGATGTTAAATCCCTACACATGACCTGTATGATGTTAAATCCCTACACATGACCTGTATGATGTTAAATCCCTAGACATGACCTGTATGATGTAAAGTCCCTTGACATGACCTGTAGGATGTTAAGTCCAAAAGGAAACATAATCAGCTTTGTAGGAGTTCAAAAATAAACATGCTTAAGTCATTAACTAATAAATAAATGCCTTGACTTGCAAAAGATATATGATTATGCAACAAGTCCAGTGCTGCCAGTCTGTGCATCCTGATATCAAGTATCAACCTGTCACTACACAATAGATACAATATGACTTGTCCAAGCAGTGCCCAGAGCTCAGAGGGGGGGTGGGCTAGCCTAGTGGTTAAAGGGTTCTCCTGTCTCACCGAAGTCCCAGGTTTAATTAATATTGCCAAAAGTGGCATAATACCCAACTCCACTACAAAGTGCAGTCATATTTTACCCCTGTGAGCATATGATTTCCCTTCGTGATATTAGCATTGGATCAGGTCGTTCTTTCTACATGTAGTGTTCATGAGACAGGAATATGCTACATTGTACAAATTCCGTGTATCGCTAGCTACCTACTACAGAACTATGGTCGCCATTTCTCAGTTCAGTATGGAGCTACAGGGTTAATGTTACCACATATCGGGTTCAAATGTGCTTTCCAATCCCTAAATACCAAAAAGTATATTTCAATTATACTCTGAAATGTTTGTCAACTTCAGTGAAGGTCACCATTGAAGAATAATACCAGTCCGTTATTCACGGTCCAGTGACCCCTATTCATACCCTGATGTTTATACTAGATATCCATCTGAGTCATTATTTTTATCTGTTTGAGGATCAATTCTTACTCCAATCAGCCACATGGTATTAGTCTGTCATCAATACTGTTCAGATTCAGTGTAACAGCTCAAATAATGGTATGCATGTACAGGTAAAGTGTGACTTTCCAAACATTCTGATACGCTATATTCCTGACGACTATTTCTGCTTGTGTTGACAGGGCAATGGTGTTTTGTAGTTTTTATATAGAGCTGTACACTGTACCATAATCCAGTCCTGTCCACCAGTCAACTAGTTCCAGGTTCTTTGTGATATTTTGACTTATAAATCTACAACCGTGTACAATAATAATTGTATATATCATACACATGTATTTATTTTCCATTTATTTATTTAATGCATAATTAATCCATGAATTTCATTTCAGACCCTAGAACATTTATAAAGAGTGCAATGAAGTTTCATAATACCACTTCCATGAGGTTAATTACCTGTTTTTGTGATGTAAACTGTAAGTTTCTTAAAGCTGCTTAGGATCAGATTGTCACTGAAGGTTATCCTGTCAAAAGCATAGTAAAGGATTTGTTTCAATAGAGAAATATCCCGAGGAACAAGTCAAGCAGCCCCATACTGGGTATAAGGCCACACATTTTTTATTTTTTTGTTTCACATGCCCGCCGCCTCTACTGAAAAAAAGCTGGACAAGAAATAAATTAAACATAACAATATTTATTTTTATTATGTCTCCTGCGAGTAATATAGTTCCTCTTATACTACACAATATGTTACATACTATATCACTATCGGTGATTCAAGAAGCCAGCTGCAGTTTTGACACTACTACAGAATGACTTTCAAATCAATAAATGATTAACATAGCTATTTATGTTTTGACCGACCTTGAGTGGAAAAGCTGGAATAAATCTGTGAAAAACAAAATTTAAAAAGTGTGGCCTTAGCAACTGTATTTAATTTCCCTGTGACTCCATTCAAGACTCCATAGAACTCTTAACTTTTCCATTACCGATGTTCAATACATTTATTGACTAAAACCAATCTTGTATTTTAGTTTGAAAAGAATGACATTTTATTTAGTCCATAGCCAATGATATTTGACTACAGGATTTTCACCTGCCTCTCTCACATGATGATATGCAATATAGATATTTATCCCCTCCACTCCAAGCTGGTCCTAGATTGTCACCAGGGTCAGGAATCATTCAGAACATATTGATGAAATCTCTTTCATGTGTGGCCTACTGTAACGAGAAACAGGATGAGAGGCCACACCTGCATTCATCTGGGATACCAACAAGCACAATCAATCCCAGTCTGTGGGTGCTGTATCTGTCCAGTGAGAGAAACAGTTGTAGAAGCAGCTTTGAACAGTATTTACATCATATTGCATGTAGAATTCCTGTGACAGGAAAATCTGACGTGTGGTGTCAGTCTGGATGCTGACAGACCAGGGTTCATCCTGCATTGTGGGTTGCTGTACTTTGTCCATGGGGTTTGTCATGAGGTGTACCATATTCGCCGTATTAAGTGCACCGCTCAAATCAGCACCTCCTGGCCAACTTCTAAACCCAAGTTTGCAAGTTGTCTTTCTACAACGTAAACGCCCTGTTCTACGCCCAAAACTATTTTTGGACAGAATGTACAGCTGTGTAGACAGGATGTATATCCTACAGGCTGACATTGAGTTTTCACACATTGCTGGCATGTTAACACTGGAGAAAAGGCATGTTCTAAGTGCCCAGGACACTTATTATGGCAAATATGGTATGTCATATTCCATGTGATTATTTATATTTTGTAATATCCAGTGTGTTTTTTGTGGACTGGGTTATGGCACTTGTTTTGTTTGGTTGTAGCATACATTACCTGACAATTTGTGGGTTTTCTATTTCGTTGGTAGTGCTAACATTTATATTGGGCTTCAAACCATGGCCGCAATCAACCCAAGGCAATATTTGATGTGTTCATACATTTTCACTCACTCATGAGATACAAAGGTTAGAATATACAATTTATACAATTTATAGAATCCATTGCATGAATTCATAAAGACATATAGTCACGTCAAAATTTAATTAAATGGACAATGTGATACAAAAGATATATTTCAAATCAACCTTTCAGCAACGACTTTGCAAATTTTACTTTACAGATTCATCTATACTACTCAAAGGAAGTTAAGGACCACCAATTCTTTAATATTACTGTAGTTAGTCTGTCATGGCATGACAGATTCACTACAGTAAAATGAAAGAATGATTATTTTGAGCAGTATAGTATGAACCATCTACTGCATAAATTTTTGTATTTTGATGTAATGGACCTTAAACCAAAAGTCAACTTCTAAACATGTAACTGGTTTTCCTGTAACATGTCTGTAACATGTAACTGGTTGGCCTGAAACCTGTAACTGGTTGGCCTGTAACATGCCTGAAACCTGTAACTGGTTGGCCTGTAACATGCCTGTAACATGTTGTGTCAGCATAATCTATGAAGGTCTGTCACCTGCTTCATCTACTGTTTGACGTTTGCTGTATGTAGAATTTTGATATGTACATTTCCACATTAACCCTACGTAACCTACTATCATCACAATTTACATGTTTGTTTAGTGCATGGGCAATGGTTTGAAGTCAAAGTAATCCAGAGGTTTGTCACCTGTGAGTATATCGCAAAAGAAATATTTTATAACAAGGGAACAGTTCCTTATAACTTGTTTTTGAATTTTTGTATTTACAGACACATTAGCTGTAATAAAGTTATAACAGATATCTTGTTGATTTTCATTTACCTACAAAACTTCCTCCTTAAAATGAATGTGTTCGCTTGTTGATAAAAATTACCCAAAGGCTACATAGCTTGTGGTATATGCATGCATATGTTGGGGTATAACATTGTTATCATGGTATATTTATGGAAATGTTGGGGTATAACATTGTTATCATCATGATATATTTATGCAAATGTTGAGTATACACACAAACAGTCATCCTATCAAATGATAACAAGTTCTTTAAACATCCTTTAATGCCACTCTGAACAGTGTTTCAGTTACCATGGTAACCTGTCAGCTTCTGTTGCAGGAAAGCCAAAAGTAGATCGTAGACATTTACTTTGGTCATGCCCATCTTTTTACCATAGTGCTGACAAACCAAAGCTCATAATCAGATTGAGTCCAAGACTGGATCCTGCTATCCGCAAATTTTTGGCAACTCGACCTGTGAAGATCCGGGTCTTCAGCAACCCATTCTTGCCATAAATAGCGACTATGCTTGTCGTAAGAGGCAACTAATGAGATCAGGTGGTCAGGCTCGCTGAGTTGGTTGATTCATGTCATCGTATTTCAATTGCGTAGATCGATGTTCATGATGTCAATCATTGGATTGTCTGGTCCAGACTCGATTATTTACAGACAGCCGTCATATAGCTGGAAGATTGCTGGTGACGTTAAACAACAAACAAACAAGATGCAACTCTGTCCTGTGAACCATGGTGCCACAGACCACTGGGCATGCCTCCTTCAAGGCAAGATAACACCCCATTGTTTGATGAATGGTTCGGTGATGTATACATCTTCACTAACAACAATTTTCATATAAAAAATATGAAACTTTAAAGAATTCAACATGTCTTTCAATTTGAAATATACAACAAATGGCCACAAGTGATCTTTGAAACACTGGTGGAGAAGAACAGCCATATTGTTTTAGCGAGAAATTGTTTAAAACCTGGGGTCAATTTTCATCTTGATAAAAATGCTGTCATGTTAATTGGCTTCCTATCATATTTAACTCTTTGGAGCCTAAGAGTTTTAATTGTTATTTCAGATCCTAGTCTGTGCATGTAATCCAGTGTCAACATGATGTTTACAAAACACATTTTAATCCTAAGATAAACCCTTCCTTCATGCCAGCTTCAAACATGTAGATGTGCAAAAGTCAAATTATTACAGCACTGTTTCCTGCTTCTGCACGACCTGACAGCGTTCCTCTACTTCCTGCTCTCACAATAAGCTGTACAGATCCCACGAGGTCATACTGATACTGGTCAAAGGTCAAAGTTCATGGTCATCTGGATGATAAAGTTCGCTTAATAATCTGTAGACATAAGATGGTGCATTTCCTCCTCTGAAAAAAAGATAATAAAAGTAAACATAGGACTGGATTACCTGTTGACGTCACTACATGTGATAATATCTCAGAAAGCTGAACAGGAACTTAATATTTATTTTATCGTTATAACTAACTTATAACAAGTCACATAAAGAAGAGAATCACTGCCAATGGACTACTTGCATTACTACTACAGGCTACAGACTACATGTATTTATAGCAATAAATAAAACCTGTTTCTTAAAGGTGCTTGATTAGATGTCATTTCTATTTATGTTTTCATTTCAGTTTGATTTGATTTGTTTTTGTTTGTTGTTAACACCACACTCAGCAATATTACAGCTATATGACGGCAATTCGTAACTAATTGAATATGGACCAGACAATCCAGTGATTGACATCATAAGCATCGATCTACATGCGACGATATGCATCAACCGAGTCAGCATGCCTGACCGTCAAGCCCCATTAGTTCCCCTTTTACAACAAGCATGGGTTCCTGAAAACCAATTCTAACCCGGAATCTTCACGGGACCAGTTTTGTTTGATACGGAAAACATCCCTTAGTCAGTTTTCCCTATCCCGTGAAAAGCAAATAGCAATCCCAAACTGGATATCACAGTCCACGAAAATGACTGGAGCAGAAGTTGGCGTTATCAACTGACATTAGACTGAAGAGAATTACAAAACCAGGGGTATCTACTTACATATTTGAGATAAACAGAGTGACAAGTTCTGGTGGGACGTAGTCGAACACTGGGTTCTGTACATGGACTTTTGCAAGGATCTCTCCCTCTGAGAACTTCATAACACTGTGAGGACTCACAAACTTGTTGAAGGCATCCTACATTGAAAGAAAACATACAAATGTTTACTTTGCCATTTTTTAAAGTTTTAACATGATTACAAATATACAACAGTTAAATTTAGTCACTATTACTCCCTGATCACCAACGTTTCACAATCTAGAAAAAACAAGGAACACACAATGCCATTGAGAAAGTGGTCAAATGTCCAACAACTGGTAGTCTAGAGCACATCCTTTGTGTACCCCTCTGACAAGTGTAACTGAGGAAGTGTTATCCCAAATATAATATTGTTACAATTGACCACTTTCTAAATGGAATTGTGTGTACATAGCTTTCAGCCATGTGAGCTGTGCCATCTTAAACTTGTCAGAGGGTTACACAAAGTATGTGATCTAGACTACTTTCATTTTTGTGGAAGCCTCAGTGGCTGAGTGGGTTAGATCACTGACTTGTGTGCTGGCGATTAGGTGCCTCACTCTGGCAGTGTGGGTTCGAATCCTGGATGGGACTTAACCCCAAAAAGTACTAAAATCTGTACTTTACTAAGCAAGTGTTATCCCAAATATAACGTGTTAGACAAAAAACATCTTTAGAAGAAAGGGAGACAACTCTACACACCTGGTCATATGAGCAGAGATACTGCGGAGAGAGTTTGAACATGGCTGCACACACAATCAGCTGGGGACAAAAACACCAACATTTATCACAATAATTGCATGGAAGAGTTAAATATACAAGAACAACACAAAAACAGATCACTTTACCTTTTAATTAATTAAGACATTCGTCTTCAACAAATCAAAACTGAACTACACCGGTAAAATAAGATTTCATCAATATGACAGGTGAAAGAAGTCGTTATCTGACATGTTAACACATAGATGTGCAGGGTTTTATGCAACGCACATATGTATACGTCCAGTACACACAAATGTAGAGAATGGACGCAGATAAAATAGATGCTGTGTCCCGAGGGAGGCACAATGATATTCATTATCTGCATCAATAGCAGTAATGGGTGTCTTATTTCATCCATCCATCGTGACCACTGTCTCTTGATCATTGATTCATTCCAGGCTCTAAAGTAATTATCTAAACGTAAGGTACACTACACCATTTCATTACTTTACAGGACCCTCATATTGCCTGCAAGGACCCTTAAAAGTAGTTATTGGATGTCCCCTGGGCCCCTGGGCCCCCACTTTCTTAGTCCAGGTAAAGCCATGGATGTGTGACATCTGTCTAAACCCCACCAGCAGATACTTACAGGAACAGAGTAATGCTTGGCAGCTAGGGCAATTGCATGACTCCCATTAATGGCTTTTAACCTGAAACAAAATAACTGCTTTGACTGGCATTTAGATGTTGGTGAGAAGGACAAAATAGAATTGGTCTACAGTATTTATCTCAATGGAATGGACAATTAATATGTTGGGTACCTGAGGTGTGAGAAACCAGTGACTGACATCACACTCTCTGTGTTCCATGACACCCCAGCAGCCAGGCGACACTGACATTTCATCACATCAACAATCATAACACTGTTTCAAAACGAGACGCAAGCTACATTCAGAAGTATGATGAGTTGTGTTTATTACCCAAGATACATTTTGTAAAAACTACACCACTGCGCATTGGTGGCGGGACCGATGCATCGGTGGATCATGATTGTTTTACTTCTCGATACAAGTATCGATCACAGTCGCACACTAAGTAAAAAATATCGATTCAGACCTTACATGTTTGCTTTAATAACTGTTCCACTAAACACTAATCAGTAGTGCAAGTTAATAGTGAAAACATAAATATTCTCCAGTAATCAATGGTAAGAGTCAAGTTGGAACCATTTCAACAATGTTTGATAATTCCTGCCTTGTGACATAATTATTAGAACGATGTAGTGAACTCACCCTCCATTGGCCATGACAGTGTGGGTGCCGATGATGACCTTGTTGACCCTCGACATGATGGCAAACACTGCGGAGTCTGTGATGACCGTCGTCTCGATACCCGACTTAGCTAGTGTTACAGCAAGCTGTTGGCCCTGAACAGGAATATAATACACTCAATGTCTTGATAGCCACTGGCTAGAGTTACAGCAAGCTGTTGGCCCTGAACAGGAATATAATACACTCAATGTCTTGATAGCCACTGGCTAGAGTTACAGCAAGATGTGGGCCCAGAATTATTGTGCAGCAAAGTGTTCTACTTGGACTGTTTAAACTTGCATTGTAGATGTTTTAAATATTTTGATAGACAGGACAAAGTCAATTCTCAGTTGTTTAATGGTAGAGTCTCAAACCAGGATAGGGTGCTTGTCCTTGATATAGAAAGACTGACAAATATATCTTCTCTTCTCTGGGGGGGGGGGGGGGGGGGGTGGAGGTATCAAATTAATCCTGGTTTCCAACGATATTATTGACAAAGAAAATGAGAAAGCACTTACATGGTAGAAAGGTGCACACTCAACGACAATCACCTGGAACTTCCTCTTCCGTGCTGCATCCTGGGAAACAAACCAATACCGATACTCGTATGATCACAACGTAAACCCCTGTCCCAGTCTATTGCATATATTTACTAAATGATGTGTTTTAGTTGCTGAATCAAGGCTTTTGGAAACAATATTTGTATAGTAGTGCGAGGTCATCCATGGTATGGTATGAAAGTGAAGATGCGGAATGGGATGACAAAGGTCATTGCCTTGGAACCCTGTTATTATGTGTCCAATATTGAGCATCATGACCTTTCTATCAAACGGTGAGGTGGAATGTCACGTTCAAAATTGTTGCACATAGCAACGTGCATGTGTGTGTGTGTGTTTTGTGTGTGTGGCTGCTTGTACTAGTCCGGACTAATGCCGATTTTATAGTGCTAGCCCCCTGAGTGAGTGAGTGAGTGAGTACGGTTTTACGCCGCTTTTAGCAATATTCCAGCAATATCACGGCGGGGGACACCAGAAATGGGCTTCACACATTGTAATCATGTCAGGAATCGAACCGGGTCTTTGGCGTGACGAGCGAACGCTTTAACCGCTAGGCTACCCGACTGCCCCTCTAGCCCCCTGAGATACCATGCCATAGTTTTAACATGAATACCCCACTGAGACACAGTATATTGAGTCCGAGCCGATCAGTCCTTCTTTATCCCCCTTGATGCCAAGCACCAGACAGGGTAACAACAAGTACCATCTTTTTAACGTCTTTTGATATGACGTGGCTGGGGATCGAACCCTGGACCTTCCGCTCTCAAGGCAGACGCTCTACCTCTAGACCACAGAGGCTGTACTCTTCCATCAAGAAACACTTCATATCATAACAATGTGTATCATACAGTCCTATACAAATCTGAAGAAAGACTGCTACCTTTAAGAAAGCTTCGACAGTTTTTGACTTTCCAGCTGTCATAATAACCTCATTAGAGTGAATGTGTTCAAGAGCTTGTGTGGCGATGTTGTCAGCACTGAAAGACAGAATCAGATAAATATTTTTGAGTACATGGGTCTTACTATATGTATCAATACAGATCACAAACCTTAATTGTGATACTTAATTTGCATCACTTTTGTGTGACATTCTCAGTGTTCCTTGTGGCCAGGGTAATAAGAGGTTGCCATCCGCCAGTTAGTTGATAATATTTTGTTTCAGAGTATTTATCACACCAGGTTATTATGTCGGTTAGTTGGTTTGTTGTTTAACCCCACACTCAGCAATATTCCAGCTATATGATGGCGGTCTGTAAATAATCGAGTCTGGACCAGACAATCCAGTGATTGACATCATGAGCATCAATCCACATAATTGGGATATGATGACATGCATCAACCAAGTCAGTGAGCCTGACCACCCGATCCCAATAGTCGCCTCTTACGACAAACATGGGTTGCTGAAGACCTATTCTACTCCAGATCTTCACGGGCTCTAAATGTTGTGAATATTACTTTGACATATTAATACAGAATTAGATTATGAAACGATACAATTGTAGGTTATGTATAGTATGGCCAGGTTAAATTTGTGATGAATCGTGACAACCCACATATCATACCTTGAGACATTTTATCGTGTGTATTGATCACACAAACCTTAACTCAAAGTATCGATAAGAAAAAGTTTTATACACATTCATTTCAATCTGTAATGATTATATTTAATTGAAACATATCCTGACACTCGGTTGAAGGAGAGGTATCCATTCGTTAGGGCTGGGACGAGTCCAAATTTTTCTACCCGGGTACCCACCCCCCTATTACCCGACCCTACCCAGGTACCCACTGTTGGTCTCAGGAGATGTCTCAAAATGTCCGATTGGGAACATTTTTAGCATAGCCCTAGCAAAACGTATTTACCCCCGGTAGATACATGTATTGAACAATCTGGACATTTATACACTGAAGTTGAATTAAGTTATATCTTTATTCAACCATATGAAAAATCAGAAGGAATGGGTGCATAGTCAGAAAGAAATGCGAACAATAGCGGCTTGTAGTGTAACCATAGAGTTCAAGATAATTTTTGACATTAAACAATATATCACGTGACTAACCACGAGTACCTGAGTTACCTGTCTCAGCCCTACCATTCGTACAGTCTAAACATAAGTTGCAATATACACCACCCGTATACACCACCCGCATACACCGCCCGCATACACCGCCCGCATACACCGCCCGCATACACCGCCCGTATACACCGCCCGCATACACCACTCGTATACACCGCACGTATACACCGCCCGTATACACCGCCCGTATACACCGCCCATATACACCACCCGTATACACCACCCACCAGCCGTATACACCGCCCGTATACACCGCCCGTATACACCACCCATATACACCACCCGCATACACCAAACATATACACCACCCACCAGCCGTATACACCGCCCGTATACACCACCCGCATACACCACCCATATACACCACCCACCAGCTGTATACACCACCCATATACACCACCCGTATACACCACCCACCAGCCGTATACACCGCACGTATACACCGCACGTATACACCACCCGCATACACCACCCATATACACCACCCGTATACACCACCCGCATACACCACCCGCATACACCACCCGCATACACCACCCATATACACCGCACGTATACACCACCCGCATACACCACCCGTATACACCACCCATATACACCACCCGTATACACCAGCCGTATACACCACCCACCAGCCGTATACACCGCACGTATACAACACCCGCATACACCACCCGTATACACCACCTACCTTGTTTCCAGTTCTGATCGGAGTTCTCCAATAGCTTCAATAATCGAGGCCTACAAGAACAGAACAACAATTATTTTTGAAGATGTACTCCAGTTATTCCATATCTGATATAGGCAGATTGACACTGATAGGTTCACTGTTCAGGAAAAGAAATCAGTTATGGCATTGTAGGCCTTGGCAGCGTGCAAAGTGTTAACAGTATCTTATAAAATGACAAGTAGGAACAGAATGTCATGGGATGTAATGGAATAAGAAGGCAAGTAGAATATCAGCTTCAGGGTTAACCTTACTTCTCTGATATAATCATGAAGAAGACATTCCGATAATATAACATTAAATTGATTCTATGATTAAAAGGCATCCTCTTACTTTTAATGTTGGAATATATACACTGTAGTCATCAATTTGTCCCTCAGCTAACAGCAGTTTCTGTAAATCAATAGAACGTACAAATAATATAAAAAATATTACACTTACAATCAAGTTGCTCCTGTTAACGCTACAAGGTTTAAAAACAATTACCATTAAAAATATATGCTCAATTTTCAGATCCAGCTGTATCAATAGGATGCCTACCTAAAAACTAAGTCTCTTAAAATAGAGAGTTAAAATACTGTTTTTACTATCTTTGTGTTTGTATTTTATGTTTTTCACTTTTATTTCAAGAGCTGATGATTGGGAAATAAACCTTAGATCTATCCAAAAACATTTCTGTTTGTCACCCGGACTTTGCGATGTTAACCAAACAATCTTTGTAACAAGAAACCAATTGGATTAGCCTATCAGATCACGATATAAAACAGCGCTCACATGAAGGGATTCCTGTGGGTCCCCTTCTTCTGACCGACCTTGGGCTGTCCTGAACACAAAATAACCACATTTCATAAAAAACAAACTGATTATCACCATCTACTGTAGCGAAGCAAAGCAAAGAAGGCTGTCATATTTCAAACACTTTACAAGAAAATCATTCATTTACCTTTGAATTTTAGTATAATCCAAAACTAACGATATTCAACAAAACACTCTCACTTTCAGGCATTTGATATCAACATGATCAAGTGATATTTCAGCAACAAACAAGAAAGTCAAAAATGGGTTTCACACACACTACCCATGTGGGTAATCAAACCAAGATCTTTGGTGTGACAAGCTATCACTTTAACCACTAGACTACAACACTGAGTGAATATTCTTTCAGATTGCATAAGCTTGACTAGGCCAAGATATGGTCCATAACGACACAAGTAACCATGGTAACCCCTTCACTGTGATAACACATACCTTGCATACTCCTCGCGAATAATTTTGAGTATTCTTCGCACCATGTTACCAATAACTGTTTCTGTCGCCTCTGCTGACATCAAACGCTTTCCTTCTCCTCGGATTACCTCCATTAATTCTCTGTTGAAAATGGAAACACAGTGAATATTTGTTATGCAGAAGTTCGGGATATTTATGAACATCAAAAGGACATCTATTACAGATCTGGTAAACAATATTTTGTCATCAAGGACATGATAACAATGGACTTTTGTCACTTAAATAGAAAGTTTTACTGAACTTGTATAGTTTTACTGTTAATATCAGTATATTTGAGAATATATTATTATTGTTTTAAAGAAAATGGACTTCAGTTTCTACAATATTGAGGCGCATCGGTACATCAGCAGGAATAGATACACCCACGAGTTGGGCATGAGTAGTGTGTACCCCTGATAAGTGAATGTTTTCAGCTTTTACATGTCCTAAGTTCTACTTACTTTGCATTGGACCATTTTGTCAATGAGATGATCCGCATAAGCAAATTGACGGTTTTACATGCAACATCATAGGAACCTTGTGTCATCCTGCAAAAGTAAGAATTTGTTTTTCTGTCATTGTCAACCACTAGACTACTAAAAATCGACTTAGGGGCCGGTCATTTATTACGGGGAGGGGGAGTGGTTAAACGAATCACTGCATAAACACAAAATATACATGTACATGATACAGTCAGGGGCCTACAGTCATACTGATGATTTTGTTTGCCAAAAGAAGTATCTATATACGTTTGGTTTGCTCAATTTACATTTTTTAATCAAGCTGTAAAATTCCCCATATGTCTGAATTTGTGAGGAACACCATAGATCGAGATATCAACAGATTGATGTTAGGTAAAGTACGTGTGTTAATTCCTCTGTTTTTGACATTACCCTTGTTTCGTCTCATTAATGAACGTTTCTATGCGTTCGTTTAGATCTTCTTTTTTCTCCATTTCTCCACTTGGCATGACGAAATTATGGTTTCTGAATTTTCTTTTCACCGGATATGATTGCGGTTATTCCCCTTGATATGAAGATAACCAATAGGAATTGATATTCACTGCGACCCTGCAATATGTCAGCCCCCATGATACATGCGCGACATGATAAAGAGTGTAGTCAACAAATGGAAACAATACAAGTATCGTTTTGTCCCATGGATAGCTTTGAATCTGAACGACAGGTTGTTACTTACCACAAATGATTCATGTGTTGTCATCCCCCAAAAGAACCACTTAATGTAGAATGTGGTAGTAGAAATGTCTTTGTAATCAAGATCGACCAATCAAGTTTGCAGTACACATTTTGTAATTTGTTTACACCATCTGTAGTAAAGAACTTGTTGAAAAAAAGAGAGGGAAATGAATTGGTAACAATACGCATAAGCATCTAAATCCCCTGATTAATTGATTTACACCAACCAATATTGTAATTTATCCTCTATAACCAGCTGCTTAATTATGGTGGGGTTGATCAAACTGTATGGCTAGATGCAGATACCCGCTCCTCCATCATTCTTTAATATCAGTGACATATAAAAACTGGTATGCAAGTATGAACAGATGAGTAGATACAGTTACCACAGCTTTCAGTACAGGTCAATTACATTCAATCAATAAAATTGAGTGAGTATGGTTTTAAGCTGCTTTTCGCAATATTCCACCAATATTATGAGGAGGGACACCAGAAATGAGCTTCACACATTGTACCAATGTCGGGAATCAAACCAGAGCCTTCAACGTGATGAGCAAATGCTTTAACCACTAGGCTACCCCAGCGCCCTGACTTGATCAATTTATGCAGTGGTGCAGTAGCCAATCTCAACATCGACAAACTCTACTGATCAGTTGAGAGCTGGTATGCTAGTAGCAATCGGCGACAAGAGCCTTGTGACCGTCTAATCTTAAGATTACATAACATGCATGCTGAAATATAAAGATGACAGAATTCATGGAGAAAGAGACAGATGACATCCAGTGTTGAATGTTATTGTAATAACCAGTGACAACTCCTCAAATATATTGAGTTTGTGTGGTCTGCATGTGAAGTCAAATAGTGAAGTTGTGCCGTAATGATATTTTTGTTGTTACCTTAGATCTGTGAGAGCAGTACCAAAAGGAACAGACGATGCCATTATTTCCAACAAGGCTGTCAACAACTTTCTGCAAGCTTTCTTCATGAACCTTCATGATAAAGAAAAATCACATGTCAAGGATGAACACACAGTATTCAAGGACAGACACACAGTATTCAAGGAAAACCTTGACATCATGAGGAAAGAACTTGGTTTTGTGACTGAGAGACGGTGTAGTCTGTTGGAGGGTGGGGGGCAAGGGGTGTTTGTGACGCGGGGGACAGTCCCAGCTGGGACCATCGTGTCTATGTACCCCGGTGAGGGCAGTTTCTATTGGTATACATCTGTGCTAAATACACTGCATTTTCTTATCCAATTTTGCATCATGCTTGAAATTCTCCATTACATTTCTTCATTATTAGTAAATATACATTTTCAGGATATTATTATTGCAAGACAATTGAATGTAGTCATGTTAATGTAAATTGTGCATTATGTTCGCTATGCTGTTGCCAACCAAAATGTTTTTGTTTTACGAAGCCTTTTTTTTTTCAGGGGCAGTTTATGAGCAATATGAACCAATTTTTTTCCAAAGTCTGGGAAATCCATTCATATTTCGATGTATAGATGGAGTCCTTATCGATGGAAATGACAAGAACTTGTCGAAATTCATTTACAAGTGAGGTAGTTTCATCCCTTTTCATATTCTGTACAGTAATGTGACCAGATTAAACATGTCACAATTATCACAAAGCAAACATACATCAAAGTGCTAACACTGAGCTGACTAAATACTTTAGTGCAATGATCTTATTGTTACTGAGTACACTTTCTATAATATGCTTTGGACAATGCAGACTACCAATTCCTGATTGTTCATTCTGCAGGTCATGTCATGGGCGAGATCGAATGGGCCCCATTTTGTCATGTGACTCCACGTGGTTGACAGAGTCCCCTTACAATCCCCTGGCTGTCGGCCAGTACGTCAACAACCAGTCTACAAGTAGGTTCAAGGACATGTTCATTTCGTTGACATTTTACAATGATGATCAATTTCATTAAAATCAGATCTTAGTTTTCGCTACCGCTAAACAAAGATCTGAGGACATCCCATTAGGGGTCACGTCAGAACGACCTTTCGCGATTTTTGACCGACCAATGAAATGACTGACAAGAAATCGACAGTAGCCAATCAGAAGGCAGCTTTCTCAAGCTTTACGACACGAGTTTCAAACTGGCGGCTAAGCTTCGAAAGATATTTTGACATATTCTCGATTAAAAAAATTAAAACTGATAAGAAGAATATTCTGGAATGACTTATAGATGGCCTAGATTGTATGGATATAATTATAAAACCCATAACTGTCGTTCGGAATACCCCGTGTTAAATATTTCGTGGTTGCATGATTAGAAACACATTCCGACTGTCACTTTCATGATCTGGTAAGCTACGCTCTGATTTGCTGGATGAAAGGTCGTTGTGACGTGACCCTTAATGGGATGTCCTCAGATCTTTGTTTAGCATAGCGAGAACTAAGATCTGATTTAAATGAGATTGTAATGATGATCATTGTACTTGCCATAAAATGGTCTGTTTTGAGAACATGCTGATTGAAAAGGATACATAAATAGGTCTTTGAAAGGCATTTAGAAGTGATACACATAAGGAAGAGAATTTATGGATGTCAACTTCTTTAGCATGTACTCCAAAATGTTGTGTTCCTCATAATAATAAAGGTGACATCCATAAATTCTCCTCCTTATGATACATAAATACTTGTAAATATCAGTATTCATGTCTACCCGTGAAGATCCGGATTAGAATAGGTCTTCAGCAACCCATGATTGCCATAAAAGGAGACTGCTTGTCGTAAGCTTGTCATTATAGAGAGCATGACCACCATAATTATTTGTAATTTTTTACAACAAGCATTAGGTAATGGGGATCTGTTCTGAAATCCCCAAATGGGAGAAAGGTAGTGTGCTGTGAGTAGAGTAGAAACAACTGTCACACAACCATTCCTGTTGTTACAGAGTTCCCAGCCAATGTTGCCTACCAGGAGTTTGACATCCCCAGTGACTTCCCCTTTCGCCTTCGGAAGTACATCCCTAATGTGCACTACAGTGCTAGTATTGACAGCACCACACTCAACAGGTGAGATATTGACAGCACCACTCTCAACAGGTGAGATATTGACAGCTCCATACTCAACAGGTGAGATATTGGCAGAACCACACTCAACAGGTGAGATATTGACAGCATCACACTCAACAGGTGAGATATTGGCTTTGATTGGTCGGATGAAAGGTTGTTCTGACATGACCCGTAATGAGCTGTCTTCAGATCTTTGTTTAACGGCAGCGAGACCTAGATCTGTTTTTAATGAGATTGCACAGGCACAAGTGGTCAAGCTATCTTAGGTGCTGTGCAGAGTTGCCTCCCCTAGCTGGTTGGGGGTTTACCAAGTCGTGGTACCTGCATCACTGGGCGCTCTTCCTCCACATTGATCTGACATTCTGTGATGTAACGGGAACACCCAACTCCCTCACTCAGTGTATTTAGATATCCAATCATTATTTTTAGATATGAAATGACAGATGGTAAATAAATGTATTTTTGTTTCAGGCTCATGAGAGTTGTGGTGCTGGTGTCAACCCGGGACATTCAGTGTGGGGAGGAGCTGTTCTCTACTTACTTCACTGTAGTCCAGTAACCATGGTAACAGGTCATACAGCGACATTCAGTGTGGGGAGGAGCTGTTCTCTACCTACTGCACTGTAGTCCAGTAACCATGGTAACAGGTCATACAGCGACATTCAGTGTGGGGAGGAGCTGTTCTCTACTTCACTGTTGGCCAGTAACCATGGTAACATCTCAATCAGCAACACACAGTGTGAGGATGAGATGTTCTTTCCCTACATCACTATAGCCAAGTAACCATGGTAACATCTAAATCAGCAACACACAGTGTGGGGAGGAGCTGTCCTCTCCCTACTTCACTATAGCCCAGTAACCATGGTAACATATCAATCAGCAACACACAGTATGGGGAGGAGCTGTTCTCTCCCTACGTCACTCTAGTCAAGTAACCATGGTGCATACTGTAATATTTCTGACATTGTACTGTCAGAGATCAAATCTGTAACAGGTCTGATGTACCAGCAGAGATCAAATCTGTAACAAGTCTAATATTGAGTCATTGCATTGAGAGATAGTTTGCCATAGATACCAGTAGTCCCTGACAGCTTGAAAACACAAGTATGTGTGGGATGTATCTGCCTGAAACAGATAGATTGTGGCTTGTATTGCAAATTCCACATTGTTGATTATATTTTGTGTGATTGAAAGTTTGGATCTCATTACAATAAAGGTTCCGTGTGTTTCCCTATATGTTTGTCGGTGAATGATTAGGGTGAACTAGGACTGACCTGGGTAGACAGGCCCCTTCCACAAAGTGATCTTAGCGCTCAGACGGTCGTAACTCCCATACTTGAACGTACACTTACAACAGTCGTAGCGCTAGGATCGCTTTGTGGAAGGGCCCCCTGACCTATCTTTTTTGTCATCTCATGCATAATATACACATACATTATTTTCTACACAGCAGTATTTCTTCAAATACAATTCTTAAACACAAATACTCAGGATTTTCTCTCGACCCGTGAAGATCCAGGGTAGAATAGGTCTTCAGCAACCCATGCTTGCCGTTAAAGGGGACTATGTTTGTCGTAAGAGGCGACTGATGGGATCGGGTGGTCAGGCTTGCTGACTTGGTTGATGCATGTCATCGTATCCCAATGGATCGATGCTCATGATGTCAATCACTGGATTGTCTGGTCAAGACTCGATTATTTACAGACCACTGTCATATAGCTGGACAGACAAACAGGATCTTCTCATTTGTACCATGTAGCAATGTATTTAAGGTAAGATAATGTTTAGAGTAAAGTTTTGTAAAACATACGGCAATAGAAGATGGTGATAAGAAAGGGAGCAACATTACTTGAAAATATATGTTACTTTCGTGTACGGGGTACAATTACAATACAAACGAAAATGGAATCTCCGGTCTTGTTTGGATTCTGAGTCAGAATAGAGTCTATTAATGTGTGGCATACTGCATGGGGTTTTCCTGCTCCGACTCCAACATATACAGGCCTCCATGATACTATTGCAATATTGTCTTGACATCCAATCCTCAAATATTGTCGGCCATCACAAGAATGGGATATTGGGGACCAATTCTTTCCTGGAATTGCTGGTAAGAATATGGGTCCCCAGCAAACCCATGCTTGTCATAAGAGGTGACTAACGGGATCTGGGCTGTCAGGATGGTGACTTGGTTGATGTATGTGATCGCATCCCAATTGCGTAGATCGATGCTCATAGTATCAATCACTGTATTTTCTGGTCCAGCGATTGACTGCTGTTAAATAGCTGGAATATTGCGTGAGTGGGATGTTAAACAACAAACGAACCAGCTTCCCTGGGATTATAGGAGTATAGGCAGTAGCTGATTATTGCCTTGCAGACATATAGGAATATAATCCGTGATTTTCTGAAGGAAACCAGAATGGTGCTAGAGGTGTTGTTCATTGTATTACGCCTGTAACTGTTATGAAAGTGTTACGTGGTGTCTGTCACCTTATGATATTACGAGTCATCCATGCATTGGCCATGAATAATATCAATGTATCCATAAGTCTATCAGTTGTTACAACCAAGGCGATCCTGGTGACAATAGGTCTTCAGCAACCCATGCTGGTCGTAAGAGGTGACTAACGGGATCGGGTGGTCAGGCTCGCTGACTTGGTAGATGCATGTCATCGTATCCCAATTGCGTGGATCGATGCTCATAATATCAATCACTGGATTGTCTGGTCCTGATTCGATTATTAACAGACCACCGTCATATAGCTGGACTATTGCTGAGTGCGGCGGTAAATAACAAACAAGGAAAACCTACGAAACGTGTTTTATATCTGTACACAAACGTTACTCAATCTCATTAAAATCAGATCTTAGTTCTCGCTACCGCTAAACATATAACGCCTTTTTACTGAGGATTAATCACGTCAGACAGTCTCATTAACATCAGATCTTTGTTCTCGCTACTGCTTTGTTTAGCGGTAGCGAGAGCTAAGATCTGATTTTAATCAGATTGAAACGTTAATGTACGTCAACACTTACGTACAGCCTTACCAAACGCAACCAGCAGTGAGCTACCAAACTGTGGAATACGTATACACTTTAAATAGAAATAGCCACACAAATTACAAAGAAAGACCTAATCCCTATAAAGTTTGCATCGCAATAATAAGAACCGGGCACATCTTTTGAAACCAAACTATAAATCTCGCAGATGTTACCATTTGTTGCAGTGGGCGTGATTTACTGTTTTAAAGTGTGTACATATTACATAGTGTGGTAGCTCTTAAGACACGATGGTGTGCATGTATACATACAACATTGCGTGTAAGAATGTATCACTTTGATGCCATGTATATTTTAAGTATTGCTGTGGTGACCTGCCAACTAAAATAGCCGTTTGAGATACCCATGTTTTGAAATATTAACCCGTAATCTTGGCACACATGCATTCATTAACCGTGTCTCCTTGTGAGACCACTGTGATATGGCGGGTGTATCGAGGGGCATCTGTAACCCACACCGACGTGGGGTCTGGTCGTTATAGCAAATATCCCACCCTTTCAGCGCCATCTACATACTTGAACATTTAGTGTAACCCTACGCCCAGCTTGGGTATCAACCTATTTTCGTTCGCTTCATTGACTATTGGTATGGGTCTCACCTCAAGGTCGTGTTATATGTTATTGTTTGACGCCTGGCGTGTTACTATGTACCTATTTGTAGCTCTTTTGTTACAGTTTTTGTGATATAACCGGATTGAATTTGCTTAAATCAGGCAGTTAATTGTATCCAGACGAATCAAGTGATCTTACATTAAGCTGGCACTTAGATTAGAACGCCAGTTTAACTCCGTAACGCCAATCTGAACATGTAATAACGAGTTACATCGCCTTATAACGGGTTACATAGCCCGAGCTGTTGACAATGTAGTGTTTGTTAAACAACTTAAAAACATTTCAAAATGTAACTGGTACAAAATGATGCCAAATTGACAACAGGGGAACAGTTATTAATAACAATGTTTCAATGAAAGAAGACTGAAGCCTATGTTTGGAAACCACCGACAATCATGAAAATATGTTTTTTGCTTTATGAAGAAATGTTGGTATAAACGAGTACCCGGATATTTGAGTCGGACTCATCCTCTGTTACCCAATGTATTATATCCCCATATCTCCACTTTATTATTACCACTAGGGGCTTTTTTTCCACGCTAAGGGACAAGCCGTGATATACGCGATGTATTCGTAACTGGAATACTGTTAAAAGCGGCGCTAAACCCAACTCATTCCCAGTACTATACATATAGAAAACAACACCAAGGTGACAGAACACCCAGAATATCTCTCAGGAGCTTTGTTATACGATCAATCAATTTCTTCAGACAAAAATACCCGCTTGTGAGTGAAGAGTTGTCTAAAGTAATTGTACTCGGACGGTCATAGAAATATGTATCAATTAGATTAGATGGACATGGAGAATCGGCTATATAGGCAAGGCGACAGTCGTCTGACGTGAACCTCAGTTCTCGCTACCACTAAACAAAGCTGTAGCAGTTTAACAGTTTATTTCTCCAAACCACCGGCGGTGATACAAAAGAGTGCCAAAGAACAAGCATGTAAACAAAGTATTAATATGTGACAAGATGACAGTATGTCATGCATGGATATGTTATATCTTTTCTGTTTTGTGTTTTCTTACTGCTTTAAATATTTCATCAATAAATCTCGATAGGTTCTTAAGATCTCTAGTGTTTTGACTGGACATAACCTCTTGAATTTATATAAATTAGACCAATTATTTTGGTAAGCAGTTGGTAAGTATACAACTCTATGTTTTGACAGAGCCTGGCATCTAAACAGATAATGGAATTCGTCTGCAACTGAAGGAGAGCTGCACAGTTCACATACACGATCCTCTTTCTTTACATTATTCCAACGTAGCGAGAACAAAAATCTGATGTTAATGAGATTGTCTGACGTGATTAATCCTCATTAAAAAGGCGTTATCGTTATTTAACTTTCGGCTTTGAATTTGAACACACACATCGTAGTTCCGTTGTCATGTAAAAGAGACTCGGGCTGCACCAATAGGAGACCAGTCTCTCGCTATTGTAGACCTCCGTCACAATATGCCATATATCTAAGGTCGTCTCAAGATGGCAATTAATTATAAAATGCAGTATTGCGCTATTAGATGGAGCCCGATGGAGTTAGCTCGAAGGTACTTTGAATCAGCGGGGTACAATGTGTGATCTGCCTGATTGATTATCGCTCCTGGTGGGTATCGTTTGAGAAAATATTTTCAATTTGTATCAGACAATAGGCAGAGGTACCCCCCTTTAACTCTTTAACAACTTCCCAAATCAATCTGCTGAAGTTCGGGGACGTTAGGCTTGGTCGAATCATACATAAAAATCAACATTGTAGAAGGTACTTGTCAAACCATCGCAATTCTATTGCAAAAGTTGTATATTATGCTGCAGAAACATGGCAGTTGATTTTTTGGACCCGTAAAGATCCGGCGTAGAAAAGGTCTTCAGCAACCCATGCTTGTAACGTTGTCTATAAAGGCGACTGTGCTTGTCTTAAGAGGCGACTAACGGGATCGGGTGGTCAGACTTGGCCGATGCATGTCATGGTATCCCAATGGCGTGGATCGATGCTGATGATTTCAATCACTGGATTGTCTTGTCCAGACTCGATTGTTTACAGACCGTCGTCATATAGCTGGAATATTGCTAAGTGTGGCGTTAAACAACAAACAAACAAGTTATTGAATAGGGCATTCCTACTTCAGCAGTAAAACTCTTTCCAATAGCCACCCCTGCCTTTAACCACTGATGTGTGGTCGACATTACCTACAGGTCATGACGTACCCGTATCAGTGACAGGGTGTAGGGCGGATACAGCCATTGTGTACCTTCGTTCTCCCTGTTGTATGCACTTTATTAACCTCTAACGACGTCACTCTGCTATTAATATAGGTTCGACTTTTCTCGGGTAAACCCGAAAAGGAGCTGTTCCCTCAGAATTAAGTATGCCCGGGTGGGCGGGCATTCCGTTAAATTTAACGTTTTATAAACTTGCCTCTTGATGTGAACACAATTGTGTTTGATGAATGGTTAAAAGTCTGAAAATTGTTTTAAAAATGAAAATTCCATGACGTGAATCGAACCTGCAACCTCACATATAGTATTAAGTTTTGTGACGCACTGTTTTCACACTGAGCTACTGGGACAGGTGATGAGAATTTGTTCAGATTATCATGTCATGACTCCATCTAGTCCAGGCTGCACATGTTATTTTCTCTCGCACGCTTTGAGCGAATTCCTTTTATACCGCGATACACTGTATTGTTTCACTATAAGGTGTGTCGATGTTTTCTTATTTTCTCTGGTATTTCTTGCATTTAGAATTTATGTCTTTGAACCGAGGAAACAGATTAAATGCAAACTCTTGGCAGTGAGGATGCCTGACATAGGTCTGCATACTGAGGACAGACGATGTAACTTGCAATGTACGTAAGGACACGAGATTAGAGCCAGTGGGCTCGATAAGATGATTCATTTCATTATTTTGTTTTCACATTGTCATTGCCATTTCTCTTCATTCATCTATTACCTACCTATAATAACTTAAGTACTGGCGTCTGTACTATACCATCAGCGCTAATTACGGTAAAGTGTTGGCATCTATTGTCTATTACTAATCACCGGCCTGATTCAGCGCCAATCATCAGTTGGCTTCCCTTGTTAGTTTAAAGCGATAAGATAACAAGAGGTGGCTTTTGCTTTTTTCTCTGCCTCATGGCATTCATTCACTTGATGAAGGAGTAAGCATATACTCCGAAACGTTGTGTTCCTCATAATAAAGAAGTTGACATCCATAAATTCTCTTCCTTATGTGTATCACTTCTAAATGCCTTTCAAAGACCTAATTAATATATCCTTTCGGTATTTTATTGGATAGGTCGGTCAGTTTAGCAAGAAAAATTTAATATATGTGTGCATCTCATGTCAGGGAAGGGTACATGAACATTTGACGTTCAGTGCATCATGAAGAACTTGTATTTCTACCGTTAGATGATTTTAAAAAATTGCTTTCAATCGCTACCAATAATGAGTGAGTATGGTTTTACGCCGCTTTTAGCAATATTCCAGCAATATCACGGCGGGTGGCACCAGAAATGGGCTTCACACATTGTACCAATGTCGGGATTCGAACCCGGGTCTTCGGAGTGACGAGCGAGCGCTTTAACCACTAGGCTACCCGACCGCCCCGCTACCAATAATGAAATAACACTTCTCTATCTTATAAAGTTCAGAACAAAAGAATGTATAGTGTATATGAAGTATTTAATACGTTTGCTCTTGTATATATAATATCTGTCGACATTCACAAACATTCAATTTGAATCCACAGTTTTACAATGAAAATATGTGAAGTACTTGTAAACTGTTTTATATAAAGTCATGATAACAAAGACATATTCACAAAAATATTCAACATGAAAGAGTTTCATCATAACACATAAAATACATTTTAAAAAGGCATACATATACCTGTAAAATACTTGGCTAAAACAATTGCCGTAAAAAATCAAAGTTTTGCGGACGGAATAGAATTATCATATAACAAGACAATTTGAAATCCAGTCATATTCCCACACATCTTGTTCAATACTGTTAACATTATAGAATGTTTTTGAATCGAGGAACGTGAACGACAGTCTTGCACGAATCCATGCGTTGGTCAACATTGGGTTGTTCATTGTATAGACCTTAACTTGATAAACGCGAGGGAGTAATACACTATGGAGGATCAACATGACTTTGGACAACACTGAGTGTTCAGCTATATGACAATAAACACAAGCAGTCGCTATATATCACAGTTTGTCGTTGCTAAATGGCGCTAGGCCTACCTACATGGATAGGTGCTTGCATACGTCACGTCGGGTTACGTAAATACGTTGTGACCGTGACCTATGTCATCTGTAATAACTGGAGTTCGTTCCACATAACAGGGATCTGATCACGATACCCACAATCATCGACATACACAAACCTGTTACGTGTACAACTAAGGACGTAGTGGTGAGACCTTAGAAACAATGAGTAAGTGAGTATGGTTTTACGCCGCTTTTAGCAATATTCCAGCAATATCACGGCGGGGGTCACCAGAAATGGGCTTCACATATTGTACCCATATCGGGAATCGCACCCGGGACTTCGGCGTGACGAGCGAACGCTTTAACCACTAGGCTACCCGACCACCCCTTAGAAACAATGGGTAAGATGAGACGAATTATTTCATTATCCATTCTCACAAATTGTAATATCCTTATCGGTCAAAAAATAGCAATGATTCACACTCCAGCTGCTTCGGAACCGTCTCTGTTATCCCGATGTGAGGAGAAATGGCGGCGACGTGGTCCCCACGTTCAGATGCATGGATTTCCACAAGTTGGACATAAGCCGGTCGGGATTCAAATTACATGATATATGAAATATTCTACATTATTCAAAATATGTTGCATATATCTGGGCCACGGCGAACAAGTTGCCCTTAGAATACGTGGCAGATGCATAATTGTCCGTGTCTGTGTTCCACACACTACGGCTGCTGAGGGCAAGTCCCTGGTTCCTGTTCTCGCCCATGGTAACCACACACACAAATTTGTACCTGTGACTGAAGCCAAGATCCTTGATGCGTGCTTTGATAACTTCAGACAAGTCTCTGGTCAGGTTGTTACATAGGTTGTTGTCATACTGTTCACCATCCAAGTACGACTCGAGCACGCGTTTCATCGTCTGCTCTGCCCGCGAAGCGTTGAATTTGTCGTCTTTATCCGGACCGAGTCTGAATGTGTTTTGTATCTTCACTGCAGCAAACATGTGTTTGGCGCCGAAAGACGCCCCGGATATGCTACTTCTTGACACATGGGACATACGTCTGCCATATTGAACGCTCTGTCGAGGTTCGATCATTCGCGACATCCTTCTGATCGACGGTCCCGAGGTCATGCCTTCTCCATCACGAGGCATTATAGACATGCGCCGTGACGGTTGCTTAGCACCGTCCAGTTGCTCCAGGTTCTCCATGGTGAGTCTAGACATGGCTGCACGATTTCCACAGTGTCGTCTGCTGCACAAGCAATCTGAAAACAAAATGCAGTGATTAATGCAAAACCATAAGCCGATTAGGATTAATTTAAATTAGTTCTTTTGTCATACAAGTTATTAAAGACCGATAATGACGGGGCAGATTAGTTGTAACAATAACTCCCGCTGTAGCCATTCAGGATGGTTTGTCCGAAAAGGCTTACTCCGTCACGACAAATTCATCAACACACAATAATCACATAGATAATATTGAAGTTCAACTCTAGGCAACAACTATATATCTCGCGATCCTTCATCCAGATCTGTTATACCATGTACCCACACTGAAAGCAGGGCTATCGGTTACCGTCTTCTTGAATAGTGTCTGTTAGTTCTAGATCTTAGACACACAGCGATTGGAAGAATGGCGCTTTCTGCTGCATAGTGAGTCAGTGGTCTCCAAGGATTTCTTGCCTCGACAGACAATCACAAAATAATAACTCAATCTATAGGTGGAATTGTGCTCAGGGCATAATCAGTGAACTGGCAACGGCCATCTAATACCAGAGGTCATAGCATTTGGTCATTAAAAAGGTCACCCTTCTTCTAATAATGTCCATTTACATATAAATGAGGTGTAGTCGTTTGGTTAAGGAACACTTTACGCATTGGGTAAATCTTAAGTTTGGGTATCTTCTTCCACTTTTCGAGCACACGTGTTTCCCTCCTTGCTTGGGGTACCCCATAGCGTAATGGCGTGGTAGTTGTGTGTACGTTGTCCCCAGGTGTTAATTGAATGATAACGTTATATAATCAAACGCTTAAAACGCAGTAGGAATACAGATGACAACGCGACTTTCTTTTGATTATGGTTATGAAGATAGGTGGAGAATACTTTGTAATCTGAATCATCAACATGTATAGAAGGCTGTGGTACCTTACAGAATAACGCCCGCTTGATTTCTTACACGAGTATGACCATTGGTCGTACATATATTGAATGCGTTGAAAAGTGGTTAATCATAAATATGTAATGTCACATAACCTACAGGCGCGGTATGTGAGATGGGGGTACACACTACTCAGTGAATAGCTGACACCACATATTGATTTTACAACTGGAATGCACCTCTCTTCATATATTATTTATTGGTAAGTTTTATTAATAATATTATAGAAAAAACATACGCAAAAAAACATATATCCTCTCGTGAACGGTTATGTTATAACAACGAAACATCTCTGGTTGGTCACATTAAGTCTTGTTTCACTAGGCAGGTGTGTTAAACGTGATACACATACAGGCGTTGTGTATAATGGAAGAAGCGACATACATGATGTACAAGACACAGAACAAGTCGATAAGGACATTCAGGAATTCAACCTATTAAACGTCGAAGTCACTAAAACGCTGAAGCGACTATGCATTGTTAGCGGGAGTACATCAACATACGCTATGGGATATGACAAGAAGCGCTGTAAAGGAACACTATGTACGTTGTGAGAACACAGGTCTATACTCACACCAGGCAGCCTGTGTTAGTCAACTCGGTTGTTACAACTCCAGCAGGTGCTCTGTTAACACGCTCGGCGATTAAGCCAGGGATTGGTGCTCCACAATACGGCGAAAGTCCGGGCGTTCTGGCTCATACCACTTCGTATTGAGACACACCATAGCCTTTTGTTGTGGAATATAATAACTGAGATATTTGATTCACAACCTGTTTTGTCAACGGTAGATAGTTTGTTTGCTCTAGGCGTCTGATATGCGATCAAAAGCACACACAGACGGTCTCTCGGTTGACTATCTAAAGTCTATCAGTAAACACAAATGGACACGTATTACCTATATACAAGTTTATATCTAGATGAGGAGTGCAGGCACTCGGGGGGTTGTCTAATTGTGATCAACAAATATACCACCCTGACTATCAGACACTTTAAAGGAGGTGGTAGACTGGTGTGATTGTTCAGTGGCCTGGGAATAAGTGCTGGGAGTATTGTTTGTGACGGAGGATAAAGGACATATTGCTCTGGTACTATTACAAGGATAGCATAGCTGATGGTGTCACCATGACATGCGTCACACGGGACGGGAAGCTAAAAAAATGGTGATATACTTCGTAAATTAGTTCGGGTCCGGTTGAGCCTGGTACTGGCAAACCACGAGTGATGATGCAGGATCTGATTGAGGTGACACGTCTGAGATCGGATCTGGCACAGGTGAACCATGGTTTCGTGAGGTGACGTAATCACTCGAATATGTTGATTCCGGAAGTAGAATCAGCGGGCGAGTTGATTCCGGAAGTAGAATGAGCGGGCGAATTGATTCTAATTTCGGAATCAACAGATTCGAGTGATTTCTATGACTTAAACCATGTTATGGTTGATACATAATTTCTCTATACTATTCCACAATGATCTATAGTAGCGTCGGTCTTACTTCTTTGACATGCACATTCAGAATGACCAGACTCAGAATCAACTGTAAGAACAATATCGTGACGTCATCATAGTGGTTTAGAGTTTGGAAACGTCCGAGATCGGATCTGGTACAAGTGATCTGTATCGCCGATGTGTCCGATTCGATTCCGAAGTCAAAGCGGGGGTTAAAACCTAGTTCGTATGCAAGTTAGACTAACATCTAGTCTCCGAAATGAACAAATCGTACAGAAAAAAAACCAGTTGTTCAATTATCTTAATAAAAAATATAATAAAAGGGAGCCCAGAGACTCTCTTCATTTTCAGTCTAGCCTATCCAAACATTATAGACTTGCATGGGCTGTATTTGATATATGTTTGTATCAGGGTATGTAAGACATGTACAGACTATATATGCAAGTATATATCCCGCATAAACACTTAGTTAACATGAGTGGCATTTGGGATTGCGTAAAGTATATATATATATATTCATATTCACGACAAGGGTAGCACCAGCCACTTACACAATTTGCATAAAAAGTATGTGTTTGGGAGTATAAAAGTATAGGCAGTTTGTTCTATATGAACACATGTCTACATGCACACTGCTGTGTGGTTGTGTTATTGTATATTCGACCATAACCCTCAGACGTTTGCCATGAGTCACTGTCTATCTGGCAACCGAGATCAAACAAAGCTCTAATAAGGTTCTTATGTCCCCGTACGTGTCAATATGTGTTTAAAGGATATGTAAACAAGACTCCTATTGGCATACGTGTTACGTCATTAATAAGATAGGAGGGTGTTGACGGAGATGGGGTACGTGTTGAAACACAATGTCCCATGAGTCACACGTTGTCGGATGTAATGTGCGAAGCCATTATGTTTGTTTGTTGTTTAACGCCGCACTCAGCAATATTTCAGCTATATGACGAAGGTCTGTAAATAATCGAGTCTGGACCAGATAATCCAGTGATTGACATCATGAGCATCGATGATTGAACAAAGATATATAGAAGTCCTGAAACGGACGGTTGGTTCCCGGGGTTTTGTCTTCAGGAGAAACATGGCATGGGCAGTCCTGTCAGATGCGGATCACATCACCAATATCACCGTCTCTCTACCAAACCTGACCCTGATCGATCTATCAATTAGGGATTATCCTAATCACAGTTCGATGAATGGATCAGTTATTGCATATATGGCATGGCATTTACAGTTCGAGAGACGCTTGTAGGAAGCAGGTCGCCGGGTATGGCGAGCGTTGCTACAAAATATATTTAGGCCAAACGGTGGAGCTGTTTTCTTAAGCAGGATAAGTGACCTCAACTGTTCCCTTGACATAACTGTTCCCTTCACGTAAGTTTATGATTATTCCATTTTAAGGGAAATTCATCCCACGGGACCTTAACCTCACACCAAGTCAATTCATTCAGAAAAATTAGTTATGTTATGGACCATGAAAGCTAATTATTGTCGTAAAAATATAATATCTTCTCACCAACAGCAAAATGCCATTTCCAAAAGAGACAAATACTATCTGTAGAGGAGCCAAGCATCATCTGAACATTTGACAGTCATCAACCTCAGAACACTCAAGAAGCATTGTACGAATATGAGTGAGTGAGTGAGTTGTTTGCACGACAGCTGTCGTGATGTGATTCACGCCGGAATCAAGACTGTGTCAAACCTTCGTCAATGCTGTCTTTATCATAACACGAAGTCTATCTTCAGTCAACCGACATAACAATACAACGTGAATTGTGTCGTTACCCGTGTTTTGTTTGTTGTTTAACGCCGCACTTGACCACCCGATCCCGTTAGTCGTCTCTTTCAACTAGCATAGTCATCTGTTACGGCAAGCTTGGGTTGCTGAAGACATATTCTACCCCGGATTTCACGCGTCGTTTATCTGTGTATATAACAGATAGGCCAACCAGCACCTCCTACCACAGTGCCAGTATCAACCTTGCCGGTGACGCCGTCTATCAGAACGTAGTAATATATCACAGGAACTCGTTATTGGTCAGATAATTAAAAAAATATGTACCCCTATATGTTAGCAATCTCATTAAAATCAGATCTGAGGACATCCCATTACGGGTCACGTTAGGACGACCTTTAATCCGACCAATCAAAGCGTCGCTTACCAGATTATTAAAGTGACAGTCGGAACGTGTTGTCTCATCATGCAACCTCGAAAACGTTCGGGGTATTCCGAACGACATCTACGGCCCGTACGACTGATTCCGTCAAAATTATCGCCTATCTCTCGCTTCCGTGGGATAAACATTTGAACGGAGGAGGCGTTGCACAGTACGAGGGAAGCACTGCGAAACAATCTCAACCATGTATTATACATTCCGGAATGTTCGTTTGTTCAGTTTTCAAAACTCGCCAGGTTGAAACGAGTGCCGTAAAGCTCGAGAAAGCTGCTTTCTAATTGGCTGATGTCGACTTCTTGTTAGTCATTTCAGTGGTCGGTCAAAGTTCGCCAAAGGTCGTTCTGACGTGACCCGTAATGGGATAGGATTTTAATGAGATTGATATGTAAGTATAGAATGTAAACAAGATGGCGAGTGACGCTCCTTTTCTCTACTTTCATATAGGGGGTATATATTTTTATTTACTG